TTGAGAATTTGGGTAAATGGTGCCACAGATAGGAATTTGATCACATGTGTGACCCGAAACCTCAGGCACAATTTCCTCAATGACACAATTATTTCTTAGACCGAAGTGAGTTTTGATGTCTTCGGGAAAAGTCTTTTCATTGACTGGGAAAAGAAATTCTCGGTCTGGAGGGACATACAGTCTGTCTTTATTGAACCGGGGTGAGGAATCCATTGCGGTAGGATATCCATTTGACCAACCCCAATTGTATGTATTGTCCACGGTTCCATTATTCACTAAATTTTCAATAGCTTCACTTTCATTGAACAATTTTTCGATTAAAAGATTTAGGCGTACAATTTCTCTCTGAGCTAAATCTCTTTGGTTCAAAGCTATCTCTAATTGTGTTTCACTTAACATTCTCGCGTCTTTCTCTAACTCTAAGTCTTTTTATAACATAGACAATTTGAGTCTTTTGTTATCCAGTCGTCCTCTTACATGGAACATCTCTTGGGACGCAATGTTCTTCTCATCTAAGGCTTTGTTATAGTCTGTAAGGACGGCAGCACATGTGTCATTAAGATCATCTATGTATGGTTGACAGTCATGCATGCTATAGTTTAGAGTTTGGATAATGAGTTTTACCTGTTCGACGATGCTTAGAGTTCCATCCTTTGTCATGTAGCAGTAGTTCTTTTCCAGCTTTGTGGACTCATCATCATCCGTAGTTGCCAGCATGCAGATTTTCCCTTTTCCTTTGATACTGCTGATGGCTTCATCTTCATCTCCAGATGACCACACTTGATGGTCTCTTTTGACATGGGCTACGTATGCCCTTGCCTTTTCTTTATCTTCCAACTCTTGAGCCATTCTAAGGTAGAATGCTCTGTCTTTTACTACATTGGCCTTACAATCTCTTGCAAAGTGATTCTCTTTGTTGCATTTGTGACAAATTACAACATCAGTTTTGTCTTCTGAGGGAGTACCGGAGTCAGTGGTTTGAGGAGACTGCGGTACCTCCTTTGGTTGATTAATATGAGATTGCGGTGGTGGATGAGAATTTTTGGAATATCGAGAATGGTTTTTCTGGGAACCGAAGTTACGGTTGAATGGAGGTTTGTTGAACTGTTGATTCTTGCGGAAGGAAGGAGGTGGTAGACGGTTGAACTGTTGACTAACCAGAGCAATAGCCTTCTGAAATTCTTCTTCATCATCATACTCTGAGTCAGCTTCGTATGACTGCGGTGGAGTGTCATACGATGAAGAGTAGGGTGACTGCGGTGGAGCTTGTGCTATGAGAGCAAGTGGTCCTCCGAAGTCAGCACAGCCTTTGAGTACGGTGGATTCTTGTGCTTGCAGCTCTCCATAGAGCTTGTAGAGTGACAAAGAGTGAATCTTTCTATCGCCTTGGACTATCATCTTAGCCGTAGTCCAATGTCTTCCCAAACCATTAAGAAACTGAAGGTTTGTTTCATGGTTACTGCGGATGGTGCCCGTAGTGGATAACTTGGTGACTATCAGATTGAACCTTTTGAAGGAGTCTTCCAAACTTTAGCTGGTATGAGCTTTGAAGTTATTGAACTCATTGAGTGCGGTAGTAAACTTCTTATCTTGTGCTTGTTCTGAGCCTTCGTACAGATTCTTGAGAACTTCCCAGATCTCTTTTGCTGATTTGCAATTTATGATAATATTGAAGTTGTCAGGAGCAACTCCACAGGAGATTTCATAAAAAGCAACAGCATCATTTTCCATTTTATCGAGATCATCCTTGGTGGGACGTCTCATAACTGGTTGACCTCCTCCTAGTCTGGTTGTAGCGTCGTCGGTTTGGACAGGTGTAAGGACTGGGACATGTGGTCCTTCTTCTACGGATCACCATACATCTCTACTAAGTCTCCTTAAGTATCTTTCCATTCTTTGTGACCAGTGATGATATTCATTTGCTACCAGTATTGGGGCTCGGTTAGAACCACCAACACTGTTGGAAACGTTCAGAGATAACGATTGTGCCATTTGAAATTTTTTTTTTAAGAAATGAGCTTAAGTGGTATAGAAGGCCTTTTGAAAAATCAGAGATCCGTTTTCAAAAAGCAACCACTATGGCTCTGATACCAATTGTTGAGAGAAAAACTTGGAGACACACTTGAACAAACGTTAGAACAAGTGGATTGCGGAATAGTTAATCTCGAAGGATCTAAAAGCTCAACAATAATATTAATAAGTTATAGTTAGATAGTTAGAGAGTTAGTTGAGGAAAAGTAAAGAAATAGAAATGACAACAATTGTTATATCAAGTATACACATAAGTTGATTCATAACAAGGAATGCATTCAAACCAAGTTAATAAGGAAGATCAAACTTAGTGATTAAGTCACAGAGGACTTGCTCCAGAGAGAGGTTATGATCAGTTATGTTCTAGGAAGGATTGAGAGTAAGGAGGGATGAGAAATAAGATAGAGGAATAGAAAAGATAACTTAGAGAAATGTATTCAGAATAGATGTGTGAGTTATCCGTATTGAATACAAGAGAATGAGCTCTTATTTATAGAGACTCATGAAGAGCACTAGATTACATCTCTATGAGTAGCCATGCAAGGCATACTAGACAATAGAGTGTATTACAATAAAGACAAGTAAAGTAATCTAGCTAAGTGACTGCGGTAGGTAGACTCCGGTTGCGGTTGCTGATGAAGAAGCTTGACTGCGGGTGCTGGATGACTGCGGTAGCTGAAGAGATTGCGGTAGCTGAAGTTCAAGAGGGTCACTTTTTATGATTCAACAAGTTGCTTAGCCAACTCGACGAGTCGGGTAGGGTTTACCCATTTTCGAGATCCAGAGTGATTTTGGTGACCTGATTAAGAGATTTCGGTCAAGAGATTCCGGTTTAGAGTTTTTGGCCCTTGGACATTAAGGAACTCGACGAGTTACTCAGGTGACTCGGCGAGTTGACTCGGGATTTTGGTTGTATGGACTCTGAAGGAACTCAACGAGTTGCTGGATGCACTCGACGAGTTGGGGTCAACATGGACAGTTGACCTTGACTTTGACCAGGGTTGACTTTGAGGGTATTTATGGTATTTTGGGATTGTGACAAGTTAATCACATGATGATTATATGCAGTTGAGTTGGACATGTGCGTTGAGACTTATCGGATCTTATATTGCCAGTTCAGCATTCACGAGAGGTGAGTCTCCTCACCATACCAATGGGTCGAAGGCACCAAGGCCGACCCATTTTATGATATGTGGCACACTAGCTGAAGTTATATTATGAGGCATGATAGTTGGATATGTGATAGGAAGTATGCTAGTTGTGTATGTGGTATGCTTGTATGGAAGACCATGGGAGAGCCCATGACACCTAGATGTAAGACCATGTGGAGAGCCCATGGCTTTCCTACTAAAGACCATGGGAGAGCCCATGACACTTGGATGTAAGACCATGTGGAGAGCCCATGACTTTCCTATTAAAGACCATGGGAGAGCCCATGACACTTAGGTGTAAGACCATGTGGGGAGCCCATGGCATCCTGGAGTAAGACCCTGGGGATGAACCCACGACATCCCTATATATTGTATTCATGGCTTATGTGGTTTATGTAGCTTTTATAGCTAATATGATTATGTGGATTTTGTGGGGTATGCTCTGGGGAACTCACTAAGCATTAGCTTACAATTTGTGGATTTGTTTCAGGTACATCTGAGCCTAAGGGCAATGGCAAGGCTTGACGACGCGACATGCACTCTCCCTCAAGCATTTTTATGGGACACTCTGATGTTTGGAATAGCATTGTTGATGTTATGAATTTTAAGGGCATGGGAGGGGGTATTTTTTATTTAAAAGGTGTAAGAAGACATCATGATGTTGTCTTGTAATGCTTTTGCATTATTTTAATGGGTTGACTTTTTTTTATATTAAAATAAGGATGGTTAGTTATGTATATATATATATATATATATATATATATATATATATATAGGTGTATGCATGTATTTATAACTATAATAACTTTTATAAAAATACACCAATTCTTAGTCTTAGAGAAAGTGTCATAAAAGTTGGTTACCATAATAGTTTTTCATATAATTATTAGTGGTTGGTGATATGGAAGTTAATATAGTTCATTTATACTCATTACGACCTTAAACTCTAAAGGTCATTTGTATGTTGTATTTGCATATACCTTGTATGACGTTGTATTGTTATAACCCGATAATCATTCACCGATCATCTATTTTGTCACACATGTATTGTAGTGTTAAATGTACCGATCTACATGCGGTTCAAAGTTTGAAAGGGAAATGTACTTTCATTGAAAGATTTTCTAATATATCATAATAATTGTGGGGGGATATATTGTTTTTACCTTTGGTTGACTTCTGTTGACCAAATTTGACTGGTGTCACAACTCCCCTTGGCAAAAACTTTTAAGGAAACATCCATCCAAGTTAATGATCCTTCTACACCCTCCCCTCCATCCTTGTTTCACTCCATCAAAGTATATGTAAATCTTGTTGAAGTAAGTCTAACCATCAGGCAATGCATCCACACAAATTTTAACTATTGAGCCAAGATTTGATCTTTTAATATCCTCACCATATGACCATATTCTAGAGTACTTTTCTGCAATTGTGCCTTCAACTAGATTCATAGCATACTTCTTGGCTCTTCTACACTGGCTCATACTGACATCAATGTCAAAGGTGTTTTTGACCTCCTCTCTTAACAATCTCACACTCATCTTTTGATTGTTCATGAATTCTTGAGTAAAATGGGTACCTATCCATTTATAAGTGACAATGGAACCTAATTTGAAATTCTTGGCAAAATTATGGTCACCTATGAGAGACTTGATCTGGAAAGACTTATCATCAGTCATCCCTGAACCCCAAATCCTAAAAGTACATTTTCCTTCACAACATTTGGCTAACAACCGTCTACTATCATTTTTGACAAAGCATAATTGATAACCATTCACAACAACATAGTTACAGAGCATGTGTTTCAATTGTCTAGGACTCTCAAAACCTCATACCTAACACTGGTACCTGCCCCTTCCAGTGTAGATGTTCATTGAAAATGTTTGGTAAGTCAGGATCAACATCTTTATTGTCATCCATATCTTCATCAACAGGCTCAACGACACATGGGTTGGCACCCATGTCCGATTGTGTACCCTTATCCTCTTTGATAAAATGAGGCCTTCTATTGTCATCCTCATCCTCGTCCTTAACCTCAACCTCATCCTCATCTCCCCTGTCAAATGGGTCAACTTTTTCTGCATCATCAATTACTTTTTCGGGGCCCCTTACTTATTCCTTCATGTTATCAAAAACTTCCTTGTTTTCTTCATCTAACCATTCCTGCATGTTAGTATTACCAAAATGGTATACATAGATAGGGAGTATGACACTATATTCGTAAGCAATTGCTATAAATTCGACATAATCCTTCTCATTCCTAATTAAAGTCAAACCTTTTTGGGAAATCTATATCAAGTTGGCAGTAGTAGAGCTTCTCACGCATTTCTGCACTTAACCTTGCCATGAACGCATAACACTTATCCTTGTCCATGCCTGTGAAGTCGATGTCGACCAGCCTCTGAGTAACCCCATCGGTGTACCGTATGGGGTATTTCGCGAAGATTCCTTGGAAGTGCACATCCACAACGATGTATACATCATCCATCTTTGAGTTAGAAGGAGAGAAATGTTGAAATAAGGGTTTTCTGGAAGAGATGGAACGATGAACAACCTTCGTTGATAATCATCTTCTTAAAGGCGTAAAGAACACACTGCATAACCAATGCGGCATTAATAAATGATGTGGTAATAAACGAAGGGCACGGTTAGCTCTCTTTGTTTTCTTATTAAATGAGGGGGCCAAAAAGTGATCGAGTTACCCCTTCAAACCTTAACAAGTGATTTATTCGACCCGACAAACTTAAGTTCCTTTCATCATAAAGCCAAGAAAATAATTTAGGGACTCAACGGGTCAACCTTAGAAAGTTCGTAGGACATTGTTGTCATTTCCCCTAAGTTCCCAACCCCATTTTTGCTCTAAGAAAAAAAAAATCTATGAAGACGATGAAACACACACATATCGAACATATGTCCAACATATGAAGCAATATGAAACTTATCCCACCAGATACGCAATTATCCAAGACAAATAAATCAAAATCGTTGTCCACTTCTCCGTTGACAATCTCTCTTGAAAATAAAAAGTTAATGAGAGCCTTAGAAATTCAATAATCCGATTGCTTTAAGTAAAAATAAAAATAAAAAACTAGATGATAAATATATAAATATTTGTAAGGAAATAATTTCAATCCGATTTTACATCAAACTATTAACAACATCCCAATCAAAAACCAATGATCTAATATAGATGATCCAAGTGTAAAAAACACTTTAAAAAATGTAACTTTTAACACACCACAAACATAAAGAGGATAAATATTTTAGCTATATCTGAAATCCGGTTCTAATCAAAAGATAAGTTGCTCAAAAAAGAAAAATAAACAAATAAATAATGACGATTTTGTTTTTCTGTAATTAAACAAAGAGGTATTTAGCTATTTATCTAAAAATGACTTTTTAACTTATTAATTTATTGAAAAGTAATAAGTTAAAAAAATGTTTGGATATAAAAAAACCTTTTAAAACAACTTCTTGTTTAGTATTTGAAAATGAGATTTCAAGAAGTCATAATTTCTAACTTCTTGAAACAACTTAATACTAATTAGGTTTATAAAGTAGATAAAAAATAATATTAAACTAGGGATGAACATTTGGACCGGGGAACCGGCCGGAACCGAACCAGAAAGAACCGATCGGGCCGGGACCGGGACGATATTATTGTGGATTCTTGGAACCGAGAACCGGTAGGAACCGACAAAAACCGATAGAACGGACAAAACCGGAACCGTATGTTGCTATTTCTCGAGAACCGGTTCCAACATTGAAAACACGACAATAACCGGAACCGGTAGAACCGACGGTCCGGTTCGATTCTTATTTTCCACTAAATTCGGTTCCCAGGCCGGTTCCGACCGGAATGGTTCGGATGCGCATCCCTATATTAAACAAAATTCTTTTTAACTTATTATAAAACCTACTCCAAACACTTATTTGAAAACTCATTTCCACATCTACACAAGACAATAAATCCTTTGAATAAAAATCCTTTTTAACGTCAAATGAAATCCCAAACACCCTCAAAGTATTGGAGGTGATAATCTGCACACGACCGTCTATAGAATTAGAAGACGTAGGAGCGAGGAACAGAGCTACGCAAAATGGAACGACGCCGCATACAAACGAATCTCTATTTCTCGAAACTCTGAAATTCTGCTATGCAGTTATCTATGCAAATGGCCGTCTCTGCTAAAACTCCAACGGTTTCTTCATGCCACTCCGACCTCTCAAACTCTCTTCACCATAACCAAATCTCCCAAACCATTAATTTCTTAGTTTCATCACGGAGCTGCAAACTTTCCCTACAAAAGAAGCATAAAATATCCGTAGTCAGCACTGATTCCATCGACACTAGAGACCCCAATTCCGTCATATGCGATCTTTGTCTCCGTGGGAACCTCGAACAAGCTCTAATACAGCTAACTGCAATGAAAAAACTCCGACTTTCGGTCGAAGAAGAAACTTACATCACAGTAATTGACCTCTGCGAGCGGAAACGAGCAGAGCCTCAAGGGCGTCAAGTGTACATTTTAATAAAGAATTCGACAACCCAATTAAGTATCAAACTTGGGAACTCGTTGTTGAGTATGTTTGTTAGGTTGGGTAATTTGGTCGAAGCATGGTATGTGTTCGGTAAAATGTCTGAGAGAAATGTATTTTCTTGGAATGTATTAATCGGTGGGTATGCTAAAGCTGGGTACTTCGACGAGGCTTTAAATCTATATCATCGAATGTTGTGGGCTGGGATTCTACCGGATGTTTATACTTTCCCTAGTATTTTAAGAACTTGTGGGGCCATACCTGATTTACTCAGAGGAAGAGAGGTTCATCTTCACGTATTGAGATTCGGATTTGAATCTGATACTGATGTGAATAATTCCCTAATCACCATGTACGTGAAATGCGGGGATGTGTATAGTGCTCGCTTAGTGTTTGATAAAATGCCTGTAAAGGACACCATATCATGGAACGCAATGATTTCTGGATATTTTGAAAACGACAAGTGTCTTGAAGGCCTAAATCTATTTCTTGACATGCTTAATCATTCTGTAGCTCCAGATTTGATGACTATGACTAGTGTAATCTCAGCCTGTGAATTCATTGGAGATGAAAGATTAGGAAAAACCCTTCAAGGGTACGCCACAAAACATGAATACAGAAAAGATGTCTCCATTGATAACTCATTAATACAGCTTTACTCAAGTCTTGGATCTTGGGAAGAAGCAGAAAAGATTTTCACACGAATTACATCAAAAGATGTTGTTTCATGGACATCCATGATTTCAGGATACGAGAACAACTCCCAACCCGAAAAAGCTCTTGAAGTGTACAAAAACATGAGAAAAGACCATGTTGCCCCTGATGAGATCACTCTTGCTAGTGTTATTTCCGCTTGTGCTTCATTACAACTCTTGGATATAGGAATCGAGCTACACGAGTTTGCAAAAAAGACTGGACTTATATCATATACCATAGTTGCCAATTCTTTAATCGATTTATATTCCAAATGTAAACTTATCGATAAGGGTATAGAAGTCTTTCAACACATTACCAACAAGAATGTGATATCATGGACTTCAATCATACTTGGTCTCAAGATCAACAATAGAAGCCTTGAAGCTCTTACTTTCTTTAGAAAAATGAAACTCACTTCAACTCCCAATTCAGTCACATTAATTTCAATCCTATCTGCATGTGGTAAGATAGGAGCTTTAATGGCAGGAAAAGAGATACACGCGTACACCTTAAGAGCTGGACTAGCGTGTAGCGGATCAAAATATCTACCAAATGCACTCCTTGACATGTACACAAAGTGTGGAAAAATGGATACTGCATTGATCCAATTCAATTCACAGCATAAAGACATTACTTCTTGGAATATTTTATTAAATGGATATGCACAAAGAGGAAAAGGGAAAGAAGCGATTGAATTATTTAACAAAATGGTAAAAGAATCAGTAAAACCAGATGGGGTCACTTTCATTTCTTTATTATGTGCTTGTGGTAGATCAGGGATGGTGGAAAAGGGTTTGGAGTATTTCAATATCATGACAGAAAATTACAATCTTGCCCCTAACCTAAAGCATTATGCTTGTGTGGTTGATTTACTTGGACGCAATGGGAAGCTTGAAGAAGCTTATTCATTCATCAAAAAGATGGATATAAAACCAGATATTGCAATATTTGGAGCTTTGTTAAATTCATGCAGGATTTACAGTTGGGTTGATTTAGGGGAGATTGCAGCTAGAAGGATATATGAAATGAATGAGAAAGACCAAAGTGCTGGATATTATACCCTTTTGTGTAATTTTTATTCTGATATTGGTAGATTTGATGAAGTAGGGAGATTGAAAAGGGTTATGAGAGAAAAAGGGGTGACAGTTGATCCAGGGTGTAGTTGGGTGGAAGTGAAGGGAAGTGTTCATGCGTTTTTAAGTGGTGATAAAAATTATCCTCAAGAAAAAGAAATTAAGGGTGTTTTGAATGGGTTTTATGAGAAAATGGGAGAAAAAGAATATGGAGTTGATGATGATTGTAAAGATGAGGTTTTATGTGGGCATAGTGAAAGATTGGCGATTGGATTTGGGTTGATAAATACAGCTCCTGGGATGCCTATTAGAGTCACAAAGAATCTTTATATGTGTGAAAAGTGTCATGATTTGGTGAAGTTTATTTCCAAAGTTGTGAGGAGAGAGATTGGTGTTAGGGATATTGAATGTTTTCATGTTTTTAAGGATGGGTTGTGTTCTTGTGGGGATGTTGGGTTTAAGCCAAAAGGTTTGAAATGAAGGGAACAAGTTTGTGATGTTATAATGTGCATTTTGTTTATGTATATGATCTTGGTATATATTTGTAATTTAAAATGTTTATTTATTTATTTATTTAAATCTATGGTAGATCGAACAGATTAATAGTTAATGGCGGTGGTAATGACAATGGTTGGTGATGACAACAGTAGCGGTAGCGGTAGTGGCGGTGGTTGTGGATGCTAATAAAAGATTTAGACCATTAGGTTCATTTTTTTGATGTAAAATCAAATTTGTCATGGCCTAAAATAATATTTTTTTACATGGCTTGAAACAACGAAAAATAATTTATTTACTTGAATAATCAAATTTGACTATCAAATTCGAAAATTTTTAGCTGTAAAATCGAATTTCATAGGCTCTGAAAGACTGAAACAACAAAAATTATTATTATTTTCGAAAAAACAGGATGTTATATAGTAGAATGATTTTAGTAAATAGCATCATGTTTTTTTCGTTTATTTAGGAAAATAGAATTGTGGCCTAAAATAATAAACTACCTATTTTATATTTTATTTCAGAAAATAACATTGTACTCCTAAAATATTTTCACTCCAAAAGACCACCAGGTTCATTTTTGTTGTTTCATCAACAAAAAAATCATGTTCATTTTTAATGTATGCTAGAATTGAAATAGAAGATTTTGATTTGGTTTTTAATGGGGTTTTCCTTATTTTCGTGG